ATAGAAGAACATCTTCATGGCCTCAAGGTAGGAAAGGACACTAAAAGCACTAACCATAAAATAAAAAATAATACATTGACCCTCATTAAAATTAATTACTTAATCCTTAGAATCATCATTAAGAGAATGACTGGGGAGAAATATTAATATTTACAATACATAGACTCATATCTCAAATATATGAGAAAATAAAAAGAAGATAAATTAGTATATATGTCCACCATAAGGCAAACCAAGATAAATTGAGTTCACATGCCCACCAACAGACATGTGTAGAGATATTTAGCTTTATTAATAAAAATCCTAAACTGAAAACAATCCATTAATAGGAGATTACATAAATAAATTGCATTCTATTTATGCAATAGAATACTACACAGAAATAAAAAAGAATGAACTATTGATATAAACACAGGTGAATTTTACTGACACTTTTGAACCAAAGTTGTCATGCATAAAAGATTATCTACTGTATGATTTCATTTAGCTGAGTTTCAAGAACAGGCAAAACTAATCAATGGTGATCAAAGTCAGAAAAGTGATGGTCTCTGTGAGAGAAAGGCTTATCGACTAGAAAGGAGTCAATAGAAGCCTTCTATGGTCCTGACAATGTTCCACACCTTGACTTGAGTGGTCATTTCATAAATAAATTCATCAAGCTGTGTTAGTTTACTCTACTTACTTTACAGGATGTCAATATACATAGTCTGGAAGAAAAGAGGGGTCTTGGGAAAAAATTCACAACAATAAGGAAATGTAATTTGGGGGAAGACAAGAAACAGGGATGGAGTTAGCAGACTGTTACAGTTTCAGATTACATACGACTAGGACTGGGAGTTAAAACTGAGGTAAAGACAACTTAATTGATTCAAAAGGTTACTGAATGGATACAGAGATAAGGAAAAATGAGGACTCAAATATGACTTCACAGTTTCTAACTAAAGAAGAAACTGCCGTTACATTGAATATTTAAGTCATTATCTGAAGTTTAAAAAAAAAAAATAAGCAGGATGAATGCATACAGTAGGCATCTTTTTTTATTCCTGCTTCTCTTCTTTTATTCCTGTTCCATTTTTCTCCTTGAGAGAGGATGTTTCTTTCTTTATATGCTCTTTCACCTACTTTTTGGAATTGACAGTAAAAAATAATTCTAATTGCTCCAATGAATTTGGTTTTAGAAACAACAAGCCTCTTACAACTATAATGTTTTTGGTTTTATTTTTAATTCTTTACTTGTAAAACTTTCTTGATTACATGCACGCACACACTATATATAATATATATAATGTATATATCCACATACAAAAATAAAGAAAAATACATAAAATATATTTCATGCATTTACATTTTTTTTATTTTTCTTCTTCGCCAACTTCTCAAATTATCATTACTCTTCATCTTATGTTTTGGAGATTTTTCTCTATCACTGTGACTTTACAATATGTTTGGCATTACTTGATCCATTTTAGGGAATCGATAGAATAAAATCACCTTAAGAAAAACTTGTTTATTATCGTAAGTTATAAGTTGTTAGATTTTGGATTTATAACCAATTCATCTTATCTCCTTAATTTAGAGGCTAGAGAAGAGATGATAATTTACACTAAAAGATTATAAAATAAATTTTAGTTTTCTGAAACATGGAAACATTCCTATGTACAGCTATGTAATATAAACTTCTATTTGGATAATTGTTATGCTCTTACGAATCTGATTTGATGCTAGAAATTCACAGTAATTTAAATTAAAATAAGAATAATTTTGAACTTCTCATTGTATTCACCTTTGGTTTTATACCAAAATAGCTATAAAAAAAGTTATAAAGTTGCAAATAATTACATCTAAAGAGATCTTTAGATCTTAAGCCAAACTTGTACATTTTAAAATAAAATGCTTTACTTTACCATCTGTAACTTCCAAATATGCTTTTGTGATGATACTTCCGGCAACATTTAATGTCTGGCAGATATAATAACCAACATCAGATCGCTGGACATTAGTGATAGTGAGGTCACCAGTCTGGGAGACCGAAAATCGGCTGGATGACTGTGGCGGCTGATAGGAGAAAAGCAGATTCTAGAACCCAGAATTTGGGGAAGGGGAGAACAAAAGTAAGTTAATTGCTAGGTTCCAATATTTTGGCATATACAAATATACATTTAA